GATGGTCAACTTACGTAACCTTTGTTCAAAAGCGCAATTTCTTCGCTCAAGGGTTGCGAAGCGCGTTAATTCAGCCTGTTCCCGCTACATTTCCCTGCTAGACGCTTATTATACGATCGGAAGCTGAGAAAAGAAACATAATCTAGTCCAAAATATCCAGAGCATGTTTGACTTAAGGAGACGAGGGAACAATTTTTAGCTATTTTTGCCGTATTTCAGTGAACTCACAACTGCGGTAGTGTCAGGAGAGAGTGAAAAGCCAACTTGTCGATATACCCTACACAAGGTAAATCAAACTTTGGCTAAGTTCCGTCCAATTGTTTTATCTCATATTTCGCTTGCAGGAATCCCCAAATGGTCCATTAGTGAAGTTGGCCCAAGTGGGAGATCTGATCTATCATGTTTGGGATTGCCCCTCTGAAGTGTATGGGATGATGATCCACGATTGCTCGATTGTAGACGGACAAGGCAACAATCATACCGTAATTGATTCACTTGGGTAAGTTGTCCATCAGTCATTGATAAGAGGTCTTTGTAGCAGTGAATCTTATGATTTTGTGAGCAAGACTCAATGGCATTTAGGTAGAGGATTTGTATGGAAAATGTAGAAATTTTATTAACCAAAATAGCAATCATAACGTAATCAATTTTTTAAAAAATGTATCCTGCTGGGAAGAAACTATGTCAGAATCATTATGATGTGCTATAAGCGTATGGGTACAATACGGCATGTGCGATTCCTTCTGTGCTTATCAACTTTGATTACTGTAAAAATGCACCTCTACACGCCTGAATATCTCATTATATTACAGAACGGTAAAAGCGAAATTTTTGTACAGCAAGATCAACTCGTGCTCACATTTTCCATAGGGCCTTTCATTTTTCAAAGGCCTAAGCAGGCCTTTGAATTTGGCGAGTGGCATTCAAAAAGCTGCGCCGCAACCGCACGCACAACATATGGAGCGAGGCACTTAGAGGTTTTTTTTCTGGGGAAGAAGCAGATGATTTTTGAAGAATAAATTTTACATTAAATGTAGGCACCTAGTATTGAATATACGGAGGATTTAGCTCAAAAAAATAAGTTTTTTTCTGGAATTTGTCTTAAAGCTTCTTGCTCCAGAAACCTGGGTTAGAGCCAATTTTTGCTTTGAATTCAATGTAGATTCAAAATATCTTTTTTTTTCACAAGAACTTTCAGGAATTAGTTTCTTTAATTAATGTACAAGGAACTTAGAAATCACGAAACGCCTTTTGAAAATTCTAGAAAACGCGATAACTTTTACTTGTTCC